GGCGGGGCGGGCGAGGCGCTGCGGCGGGGAGAAGTACAACGCTGCCCGCGCCGACTTTGAGCAGAGGATGCTGGATTCGGCCGTGGTGCAGGGCCGGTGGTGGGCAGTGCCGGGGGGCGGGCGGGGCGGGCAGGAGCGGGGCTCACGCGGGCACTGCTCAGGCTCCCGGTGCTGGCTGCGCGGTGCAGTGGTGGCACAGGGCGGGCTGGTCTTTTGGGGATGTGCCAGCCTGGCTGAGCACCCCTCCGCGGTGATGCCAGCCCCCGGGGATGCGCCACCCTGGATGAGCCCCATTCCCTCATTGCCTGGGGACGCTGGCCCCTGGGGACGTGCCACCCTGACTGAGCGCGTCTCCCTGGGGATGTGCCACCCTGGCTGAGCCCCACTCCTCGGCGATGCCAACCCCTGGGGATACCCCTCCCTGGGGATGTTGGCCCTTGGGGACGTGCCACCCTGGCTGAGCCCCATTCCCCGGTGATGCCAGTCCCTGGGGACATGCCAAGCTGGCTGAGCCCCCCTTCGTTTTGATGCCAGCCCCCCCAGGGCCATGCCACCCTGGCTGAGCCCCATTCCTTGGGGACATGCCACCCTGCCTGAGCACCCCTCCCTGGGGATGCTGGCCCGTGGGGGTGTGCTACCCTGGCTGAGCCCCCACTGCCTGGACGTGCCAACCCCTGGGGACATGCCACCCTTCCTGAGCCCCCCCTCCCTGTCCGCACACGGACCCCTGGGGACATGCCACCCTGGCTAAACCCCCACCTCTGCCCCGCCAGCGCTTCCAGGAGGTGGAAGAAGCCCACCTACGCTACATGAAGGGTCTCATCGGCTCCTACTCTCACTCCGTGGAGGACACCCACGTCCAGATCGGGCAGGTGAGTCCCCAGGGGGGGTGAACAACGACGGGGACAACACCGAGCTGTCCCCCCCTTTACTCTGAGGATGATGTCCCCCCCTTTTTTTTTACAGGTGCATGAAGAATTCAAGCAAAACGTGGAGAACATCGGCACCGAGACGCTGCTGCGGAGGTTTGCCGAGAGCAAGGGCACGGGGCGAGAGCGGCCAGGTGAGGTTGTGGGCAGCATCCCGGTGGGCTCCCCCCATTTGCACGAGGGCGATGCTCCCCCTCCTCGCACGAGGAGGCTTTGCCCTCGTGCAAGGATGGAGCCACGGTGCTGGGCTGATCCCGCTCTCGGTGACAGGAGCGTTGGATTTCGACGAGTACCGGCTGGCCCCAGCGCAGGAAGGCAAGTACGTCTGCATCCAGCAGCCCCACGCCGGGGATTGTTGGGGTGTAGGGGGGCTGCTCACTGCTCTGTGCCCCCCTCCCAGGACCCAAGAGGAGCCGTAGCAAAGCTTTCCGTATCCTCCTACTTCCTACTCTCACTCCGTGGACACGTCCAGATCGGGCAGGTGAGTCCCCAGGGGGGGTGAACAACGACGGGGACAACACCGAGCTGTCCCCCCTTACTCCGACCCCTTCGTTTTGATGCCAGCCCCCCCAGGGCCATGCCACCCTGGCTGAGCCCCATTCCTTGGGGACATGCCACCCTGCCTGAGCACCCCTCCCTGGGGATGCTGGCCCGTGGGGGTGTGCTACCCTGGCTGAGCCCCCACTGCCTGGACGTGCCAACCCCTGGGGACATGCCACCCTTCCTGAGCCCCCCCTCCCTGTCCGCACACGGACCCCTGGGGACATGCCACCCTGGCTAAACCCCCACCTCTGCCCCGCCAGCGCTTCCAGGAGGTGGAAGAAGCCCACCTACGCTACATGAAGGGTCTCATCGGCTCCTACTCTCACTCCGTGGAGGACACCCACGTCCAGATCGGGCAGGTGAGTCCCCAGGGGGGGTGAACAACGACGGGGACAACACCGAGCTGTCCCCCCCTTTACTCTGAGGATGATGTCCCCCCCTTTTTTTTTACAGGTGCATGAAGAATTCAAGCAAAACGTGGAGAACATCGGCACCGAGACGCTGCTGCGGAGGTTTGCCGAGAGCAAGGGCACGGGGCGAGAGCGGCCAGGTGAGGTTGTGGGCAGCATCCCGGTGGGCTCCCCCCATTTGCACGAGGGCGATGCTCCCCCTCCTCGCACGAGGAGGCTTTGCCCTCGTGCAAGGATGGAGCCACGGTGCTGGGCTGATCCCGCTCTCGGTGACAGGAGCGTTGGATTTCGACGAGTACCGGCTGGCCCCAGCGCAGGAAGGCAAGTACGTCTGCATCCAGCAGCCCCACGCCGGGGATTGTTGGGGTGTAGGGGGGCTGCTCACTGCTCTGTGCCCCCCTCCCAGGACCCAAGAGGAGCCGTAGCAAAGCTTTCCGTATCCCTGGGTTGAGCCGTAAGGAGAGGGATCGTGATGCTGTGTAAGATCCCCCTCTCCCCATGTCCCTTGTCCCTGCATCCCCGCATCCCTTCCCCGCTTCGGGATCTAATGCTGCCCCTGTCATTCCCCAGGGAATCCCCGGATGCCGAGGTGGTGAGTATCCCAGTGCCAGCCCTGGGGTTGGTTTTTTCCATACCGGGAGGACTGGGGAGCGAGCGCCTCTCCGAGCATCTCCCCGCAGGGCTGCCCGGAGGTGGATGAGGACGGGTTCACCGTGCGCCCCGACGTCGCCCACAGTATCCTTGTGCTGGAGTAGGGGGTGTGTGATTTTTGGGGTGTCCAAGGGGGGTTCCGAGCATGGGGTGTTGCCTTGACGGGGGGCTCAGCCGAGGCGGAGAACCACGTCTGCTCCTCCAGCGACTCCGACTACGACGAGGATGAGCCCCGCAAGTTTTACGTCCACATCAAGCCGGTGCAGCCCCGGGAGGCGGCCAGCAGCGCCGAGGCCACCATGGAGCAGCTCAAGGCCACCGTGGGGAACCTCATCCTGCCCCCCAGCATCGGGGTGAGCCTCGAGGGGGGGGCTGCAGGGTCCCCAGGGACCGTGCCAGGGCCAACTGACCCCCTCTCCCCGTTCTCTTGCAGGGCACCGTCAAGCGACAGTCGTCCCGTAAGTGTCACCCCGGGGGCTCAAGCGTGGCCGCGGCTCGGGGGTCCCCTGGGCTCCGTGACCCCTAACGCTGCCTGTCCCTGTCCCTCCGCAGGGCACGTGGCATCTCTGACCCCCGCCCGAAGCGATGCAGACCCCGAGGGGACGCTGGCGGCAGGTGAGGCCGTGCCGGGGGGGTCCCGGGGATGTGGAGGGGGGTCCCCTCAGGGATGCGGGGGACAGTGGCTCTGCAACCCCCAGCGAGTCCCCTCTCCCCACAGGTGACGGCGCAGGGAGGGGGCGCCCGGCGGCGCAGGTGAACAGGTACGGGGCAGGGAGGGAGCGGGGTGCCGTGGGGCGGTGCACCCCACGCTGCCGCCCCCGAGCCCCCTCCCCGGGGGGTCCTGAGCGGGCACTGAGCCGCCCCCTCTGTCGCCGGCACAGCAGCCCCGGGAAAGCCCCTCCGGACGCGGTGCCCCCCGCGGCCCCCTTCCGGCCC